AGATAATTGATTGAATTATTGTTATTTTCAATGAGCACCAACATTATAGGTAAAATATACACTACTCAAGGTTACTACAAACTCAAGATTGGGTAGAATAGGATGCCAAATAAAAGAGTCTATACTTTTAATTTTTTATTTTCTATTTCTTGAGTGTGACTACATAAGAATATATACAATTGGATAACCGTGCACACATAGTGGAGTGAGAAAAACATAAAGTTAAAATTTTGTATACTAATCATACTATACAACTTAAAATCGTACTATACGATCAGATATATGGAGAATGGATTTCACGACTAATTAATAAAATTAATTTATATGAACTAATTATACTATATGATTAAGATTGTACTAGACAATTCCTTCTATAAAAAAGCCCTACTGAATAATAAATTAAGTAAAATATTTAAAATATGATATTTGAATTTTGAACTAATCGTACTGTATAAAATTTTGAAATCTTACTTAAATTACCCTCGTAATAAGTCAATTATTCATGGTTTAATTAATGATAGCCGATTATACTGTACAGTGTTGATCGTACCATATGATTGATAGAGACAAAAATTTAAAGATTGTACCAAATAAAATCATAATTTTTGAACTACTCATACTGTGCAATGTGAATCACTAAAAATGAACTAACCATACAACACAATGAGAGCAATATGGGATGATTAACAAAAAAGATTTCTAATCATCCCATGAATTATCCTGTATGAATAGAGAGAAAGTAAATAGATCGTACTTGATTATCTTAGGATCGCAATGTATGATGTGTTAAAAAAGTTGAACATTTCGTTTAAACGACTATTTACATCGTACTAGATGGGTCTAATTTTTTGAACTGATCATACTATACAAATTCCAATCGTATTGTAGGAATAGAGATGATCAACTTAAATTTTTAGGATTTCTTGAAACCAAATATTTAAGCAATATTTGAAGAATCTCTTGGAAAATATAGAGGATTGTGTGACTGCTGAAGGAACTCTCAAAGAGGTTCTTTTGAGAGAAAATCCAGATTTAAGTGGAAGGAGAAGGTGAGGTTGAACAAGAGGAAGAAGGAGTGTGAGGGGATCACATGGTTGCTCTGGGCTAACTACACTCTTGCTCCTCCTGTGGCCTTGAATGTTCTCTTAGGAGAGAGGCTTCGAAGTCAAGTCCTTGAGGTACTCTGCATTCTCTAGGAGGGAGAAAAATATTGGTGGTACTCTGCCTTCTCTAGAAGGGAGAAAAAGATTGGAGGTATGTTGCCTTCCCTAGGAGGGAGAAAAAACTTTGGGTTCTCTACCTTATCCAATAGGGAGAAAAATGATTCAAGGTCCTCTACCGTCACTAGGAAGGTGATATAGCTTCCGGCACTCCGCCACATCAGGTTTGGTGAAAGTGAGTCTGTAAGGGCTTCTCTTTCTTGCTATGGGAGCAAAAGGAGAGTCACTTAGTGTTAGTATAATACCTAGAGGGAGGACTCCGAGTAGTGTATGTAGGTCAAGATTGACCAAACCACTATAAAATTTTTGGTGTGCTTTTTTTATTTTTGTAATTTTATTTTCCTGCAATTTTCTTTTTTGCAAGTCAAGTTTGTTGTTTTCAATCTTATAAATCAACTACACTAAATTTAAACTTATTTGCTATAAGAATATTTGCAGGTGTTAAAAATTAAAAAAAATTATCATATAATTTTTTATATAAATTACTTTCATATGTTATTTTGAGTAATCTATCTAAATTAAGTTATTTTGTGGCTAAAAAAAAATAAAAGTATTCATGTGTAGGGGTTTTTTAAAATTATAAATTCTCTCCCTCCTCTTGGTTCTACTCGGGCTAGTTCTGTGAGGTTTAACAACCTTCTCAAACTTTCAAATCTCTCTTAATTGTGAATTGTTTAGAGCAAGTGACAATGAAGACTTAACCACTTGGTTATGTTCCTTAGTGTTTACATGATTGTTGGTGAGTTTGAACCACTCAGCCAATGCCTTTGGCTAATATATTCTTACTACATAATGGAATGGACCCTCTCATAATTCTTGTGTCAGAGCAATTTGGAAGATAGTTAGCTCTAGGTCTTTCACTACAAGTTACTCCCTTTGAAACCTTATAATGAAGCTTTGTAGTGACTCACTAGGCTCTTGAATCATGTTGAGGAGGGCTTTCATGCACTTTCTAAAGCTTTTGGATGCTCTAAATTTTAGTTACAAATATCTTCCTAAACTTTAAAAAGGAGGGCATCAATTCCATGGGTAGGTGAGTGAACCACTTGAGTGTCTACTCTTCAAGAGTCACGGAGAACAACTAACACTTAAGGAGTCATTAATGCTTAGTAAAGATAATATGGACTCAAAGTTGGTGGCATGGTCTACCCAGTCAACCCTCCCTCCATGGGCGGAGCCATAAAGTTTTTTTAGTGGGGGCACAAATTAGTATTAGTCATTAAATTATTCTCAATATATAATATTCCTTTAATGTAATCACAAATCATGAAATATTTTTTAATTAAAAATTAAAAAAATACAACCAAATATATACTTATCCCCTTAAAAAGAAATAGATATATCACTCTATCTTTTTATTTATTAAGAAATTAAGAATGTTAGTGAATAGAGTTCAAATAAATTAATTTTATTCTTAGAAATATTTTATTTGAATTTATTGAATTAATTCTTAATTTTAAATTATATTAAGATTAATTATGTTTAAATTATAAGATAATTATTTAGTCTATTGCTTCTATTATCTCTATATTGAGATGGTATTTATTGAATTATGTAATTAAACATATTGTTAATTCAGTATCACATTTATTAAAATATAAAGCAAAATCCTATGATAAAAGTATAATTATAATAAATTCTTTTTAGTTTAGAATATAAATTATTTAACTATTATATATAATATATGTTAATATTAAATAAAATATTATATTATACTTATAGAGAATTTATTAACATTATCTATTAAACTTATGTGTACTTACTAGATTTATTTAACTTTTAGATCAGTTATATTTATAACTGAATATACTCATAAATATTTTTATGCAACACATTCTGCTTATTATTTTCACACAAAAAAACAGCAGTTATGTCTTAATTTCTTAACAAAAAAAGAGCTAAAAAGCCTATAACTCTTGGGCAATAGAAAGTAAGAGAGAGAGAGAGAGAGAGAAGAGAGAGAGAGAGAGAGAGAGAGAGGAGATAAAGAAGAGAGAGACAACATGAGAGAATATGCAGCGACGTCTAAAAAAAATGGAGCCAGGCGGAGGCGGATGGCTGATTAGTTTAGAAATTAAATTAATCTTTATATATTAATTATTATATTAATATAGTTTAAATAAATAGAACTTAATTGTTGGGCCAACGGGAGCCCGTGCCCCCAGGGCCCCCACTGTAGATCAGCCCCTATCTCCCTCTATAGGACTCCATACGAGAAATCTTAAACATTGGAGGTGGCCTCACCTTAACTCTCTCTTTAGAGAACGCATTCGTCAATTGAGGCTTTGCTCTTCTTATGCATCGAGGTTAGTGCTCTACTCTTGGCCTTCTATGGTGAACAACCTAGTCAAAGTATTATTCTCAGGTGTTTTCTTTAAGAGTTGCTCGGCGACCCTTCTCAGGTGAGTCTCCTTGAGCCATTTTGGCACGATGGATGAGTTCACTTGAACTATAATATTAGCAAACTTCATGGCTAGCATAGCATAATGAAGTGAATTTGTCTTTCATGAAATGATCTCTCCTTCTAGTCAGTTATATATATATAGACAAGCTATTAATAGAATTCATTTATATAAGAAAATTTTAATATATATATATATATATATTATATAATATATATATATATTATATATATATTATATATATATATATATATATATATTATTATATATATATATATATATATATTAAAATTTTCTTATAAAAATGAATTATACTAATAGCTTGTCAACCAAAATGATAGTGAGGAACAATTATTATGTCCTCTGACCGGACGTAGAGCTACGTTCAACCGCCAATAACATGTCGCCACGTGCTCTTACTCTCTACCGCGCGGCCCGACGACTTGACCCGGATCGGAACCCGGGAATACTATGTTTGCGTATTGCGAGGTATTACTCGGTATTTACTCGGTATTACTAGGTATTGCATGGGAATAAAGAGAAATGCCGCTCTGTGAAGACCAATACCGAGCAAATATCGAGTAATACCGAGTTGTACCGAGTTTTCCTAGAAAAACTCGATACAACTCGGGTATTACTCGGTATTTGCTCGGTATTGCTCGGTATTGCTAGGTATTGCATGGCAATAACGAGAAATACCGCTCTGTGAAGACCAATACCTAGCAAATACTGAGTAATACTGAGTTGTACCGAGTTGTATTGAGTTTTTCTAGGTATTACTCGGTACAACTCGGTATTACTCGGTATTTGCTCGGTATTGCACGGTATTTGCTCGGTATTGGTTATTTCCAATTAAAAACGGCCAATACCTAGCAATACCGAGTAATACCGAGCAATACCTAGCAAAATCGAGAAATACCGAGCCATCTTGGGTCCGTTCCGGGTCGGGTTGTCGGGGCGCACGGTAAATTGTGAGAATGCATGTCGCGATTCTACTGGCGGCCGAATGTAGAGCTACATCCTGTGATCGGACCAAATAAAAGTTCGATAGTGAGTCACTTTGAGATGATACCTCCTACTGGAGGGATAAGTCCTTCAAATATGGAGAGTTCTCTGAAAAACTCAAGAATTTCCTTGGAAGCAACTTTCCTCTAATTACTTTTTTGAGTTGAGGGAGTTGAGTTGAACCCTTTAGCTATCATGTAACAATGATTGAGGACAATGCTCTTAGATGAGTTGTTGCTGCTATGATCTACGATCAATTAAAACATATGAAAACTATGATCAATTAAAACATAAGAAAAACCTGTAAAATACTTGAGATGGAATAAATGAATAGACATTTTAAATGTAATTGAAATAGATATTCTTGCAACCAAGGTGGCCGCTCGCTATTTTACCTCGACCAAAGCGACGAAACTGCTCTGTATTTCACAATCCAAAAGGCAATATCCAGGATTCAGGCACTGGCGCTCGGCGCGGTCCCCATACCTTCCCTCGCAGGACGCGGCGACCTGGAGGCGGACGCACCGCCGCCACCGTAGTCACCGCATCTCACGTCTTCTCCTACCTTTAGAAAGAAGACTACTGGCGAGGGGGAAAATTTATGCACAGAATGGGTGCTATTAAGTCTGCCATCGGCGACGCGGTGATCACCTTCCTCTGGGTATTCTGCGTCTCCACTATCGGGGCCCTAACCTCCATCATATCATCCGCTCTCCAGGTTCAGGGTTTTGCACCCAACCTCCTCATTATCACCTTTCTAATCGCCGTCCTCGTCTTCTTCTTCAATCTCATCGCTCACGCCCTCGGCGGTGCCAGCTTCAATCCGACTGGCATCGCTGCATTCTACGCGGCTGGTATCGGCGGAGACTCTCTCATCTCACTGGCCGTCCGCTTCCCTTCTCAGGTCCCTCCCTTTTAACTTCCCCATTCTCCGGTTCTCTTCATTCTAGGGTTTTATTCTTAATTTCCGTTACGAACAGGCCGCTGGGGCGGTGGGGGGTGTGCTGGCGATTGTGGAGTTCATGCCTTCTCAGTACAAACACATGCTTGGCGGACCGTCGGTCAAAGTAGACCTACACACTGCGGCAATCGCGGAAGGGTTACTGACATTTCTCATCAGTTTTGCTGTGTTGTGGATAGTTATCAAGGGACCTCGAAGCATGGTCGTCAAATCCTTGATGCTGGCTGTCACCACTGTGACCTTGGTCGTTAGTGGCTCTGGGTATACTGGACCAGCCATGAATCCCGCTAATGTAAGTTGACTAGGTCACAACATTTGTGATTCTGACATGAGGTTTAATACTTGACTTTTGATCATTTCTCTATTACTACTTGCTTTCGAAAGATGAATTTTTGATATAGGGATACCAACAGGAGCTGCGGAAGTGCAAATCAGCATATAGTTTTTCCATTTAGCAACTTTTGGCGTTTCAGTGGAATGAAAGTATATTTGGCAATTTAATAAAATTTCTAGATATAGAAAGCTATTCTCTTGATGAAAAACAAATAAGTTGGCATTTTATGTTGCAGGACCTTTACAGTATCCTTTAATGATGATAACATGATATGAATAGTTGTATATGCTTGGCGGCAAAGTTCATTCTATTGCATTGTCAGTTAGAAATTTATTTATGGCTATAAGCACCAGGAGGTGACTAGCATGCTGTTTCCCTTATGTGCTTGTCTTTGAATGTTTTTTCTATCACTCTTCTTAGTATTTTACTGGGACAGTTGAATAAATTGTTTTTAGGTTGTTAGCAGGTCAAACACGATTCTAAACTTTGCAAATTAATTAATTAAAGATATACTAATAAAATTTTTAAGTATTAGTGTGAAATTTAATATTCTTTTCTTTTCTATGTTTCTAGTGGTATCACTGAATTTCTGAAATTTTCTATCCTCAGTATCATACTTATTAAGGTGCTTGCACATTGGTGCTATAGGTGTTGATTGAGAGTAACACCCATGGGTAAGTTTTGCACTTGACCGAGCAATTCATTTCAAAATATTTAGGGTATCCATAGACCTTTTATATAGTGCCTATTTTCTTTGAGGCTTGTTTTTTTTTCTTCTTTTTTTTTGGATGTTTTGTTTTATGTATGCTGCCTAACTACAATTAGAGGCATTTAGATAAAAGTTTGTAACTTGTTTAATGTAAACCAACTGACATGAAAATGTGTTGAGAACCTACTTTTTGGCAACCATTTTGAAATAGCAACTAGAAAGTGCAGTGAGAAATCAACTAGTCAGTTAGTAAATGCCCTTAGCATTTACTATGGTTTTTTAACAAACTATAATGATTACAGTATTCTATCTAGTGAGACGTCAACTAGTTTGTCATTAAAAATATCCATAGCAACCATTTTGATTTTTTAACAAAATATAATGAGCGTGTGCTATTATCATTTGTGATGATATTGTAGCTCCACACAGTTTCTATTAAACAGATAATGTTTCATTTGTAGTATCTATGCCATAGGGGCATCCAATTTGCTCCATCTACTTTATTCATAGTAGCTGCTTACAACGGATTTTCTATAACAACTTCTCAAGCCCTTGGTTTGCTAAAATTTCGCATTTTTTGCTTTTTCTTTTGCCATTTTACTATACATGTGGTGTGCATTGTAATACTAAAGAGTTATGGAATGTTGAGCCTTTCTCTGTCTTCTCTCATTTTAGTTATATTCTACTAACCTAATGCCTTTGGAAGTTTTTACCACCGTAGTCCTCGCTTTTTTCTTTGTTAAACCTCATTATGTTTCATTATTTATCTCTAAGCTTATTCTCTCTCATTCCAATATCTCTACCTGAGCCTAAGAGGAGGAACTAAGGCAGGAGTTCTGGTTGCAATTTGTTAAAAAGACAGGAGCCATTGAATGGGTGCAATAAAAGTTAGTCCTACCCTCTTTCTCACTCAGAGAAGACTCATTTATCTCTCATACTTATTAATAACAAATAATTCATCCTGACACAAAGATCCCATAGAGCCATAACACATGGAACGTGGCACACCATTTTAAAGTACGTTAAATTTTAAGAAAAACTTGGATAATTCATTAACAATCAGCATAAGAGAAAAGTATCATAATGCATAAAGACAGAATCAATTTCATATAAATAAAACAAAATATTTCTTTAAAATACTAAGTCAATGGAAGGTAATTAAATTGGAAAATTTAAAGTGATAATTATAAAATAAAGTCAAAGCATTGATATGACAACATATTATTGCTAACAAACAACAAAATTAAATCAAATAAAACTTAGTATTAAACAAACAAAAAATCGAAATAAAATAGTTGAGGAAAGTGCATGACAATAATAATATGGAAATTGCATTAATAGTTATTGGATGGAGAAGGAAGTGTATGGGTGTCACTACATGTTAGTTTCAGGCAATGTCAAGGACAAGGGTAAGGAGAACGAATTCTTCAAGCTGCCATATGTATTTTCATTAGCCTTCTTATTATTCTTTCTTTAAAGACTCTAGATACCCCCTAGATTTTAGATCTCCATGTTTGTTGCTTTTGGTCACTATAGTATAATAAATTCTAAAGCAACTGTTAAAAAATGATTCACGGAGATATTTGCAATGACAACAACTTCTAGATAGATGAATGACTCACATTTTTTGATCAAATGCAACTTATGAAATCTCAGAACAATGGTGATTATGGCCTTTGTGGACTATGGCAATGATTTCTGCATTAGGATCAATAACTTACATATTCCTCATCTTCATGATAGATTCTTATTGTTCTCATTTCTATGGGAAACTAAAATGTCAAGAATTGGGACTCATCAATAAGCATGAGTCGGTATGAGCGCTTCGATGTTTTGAAGCACTAAGATATCTATGAAGCTTTAAAAAAATGATAAATCAGTTTAAATAAATTATAAAAAAACAAGAAAATTAAAGTAATGCATTTCATTCTAGATATGTATTATAGTGTACACATAGAACACATATTCGACGATGTTTTTCTTTGTTGCGCCTTCCCTTACAAATAACACGAGATGTACAATATATTATGTTATGTGCTATAGTATCTATTATTTTGCGATATAATGTATGCTCTCTCCATACTCAAGAACCTATGACATCTCAGAACAATGGTGATTATGGCTTTTGTGGATTATGGCAATGATTTTTACCTTAGGATCAATAATTGACATATTCCTCGTCTTCATGATAGATTCTTATTGTTCTCGTTTCTATGGGAAACTGAAATGTGAAGAATTGGAGAAATTATTCTATGTGGAGACTGGACATAGAATGCCATACGGAGACCAAACAGAATGTGCCACGTTAGCGGTACGAGCTGCGGTATCGAGCTGCGGTACGAGCCACGGTACTGAGCGAAGTGATGACGTGGCGCATTCTGGTTGGTCTTCGAACGACATTCAGCATCCGCATAGAATAATTAATCCAAGAATTGGGACTCATTAATAAGCATGAGTCGGCATGAGTGCTTCGATGTTTTGAAGCACTAAGATATCTATCAAGCGTTAAAAGGAAAGATAAATTAGTTTAAATAAATTATATAAAAAAACAAGAAAATTAAAGTAATGCGTTTCATTCTCAATATATATTATAGTGTACACATAGAGCACTTATTCCACGATGTTTTTCTTTGTTGTGCCTTCCCATACAAATAACACGAGATGTACAATATATTATGTTATGTACTTGTGTGCTATAGTATCTATTATTTTGCATTATTATGTATGCTCTCTTCATACTCAAGAACTTATGACATCTCAGAACAATGGTGATTATGGCTTTTGTGGACTATGGCAATGATTTCTGCATTAGGATCAAAGACTGATATATTCCTCATCTTCATGATAGATTCTTATTGTTCTCGTTTCTATGGGAAACTGAAATGTCAATAATTGGGACTCATCAATAAGCATGAGTCGGAATGAGTGCTTCGATGTTTTAAAGCACTAGATATCTATGAAGCTTTAAAAGGAAAGATAAATAAATTTAAATAAATTATAAAAAAAACAAGAAAATTAAAGTAATGCATTTCATTCTTGATATATATTATAGTGTACACATAGAGCACATATTTCACGATGTGTTTCTTTGTTGTGCCTTCCCATACAAATAACACGAGATGTACAATATAATATATTATGTGCTATAGTATCTACTATTTTGTGTTATTATGTATGCTCTCTCCATACTCAAGAACATATGAAAATGAGATGTGACTTGGGTGCAAATCAAGCAAAGGAGTGTAGATGCATTCAAGAAAAACAGCTCAAGGAAATGAAGAAGATCATGCATTAAGAAAGCAAGGAACAAAAGGAGGTGGTCCAAACAAGAGCAAAAAGAAACAATCCACTTTTATGAGTGGTGCTTTTCATTTGGGTAAAGCTCAATCAATGAAATGATATCTACTTGTGAATATTCAATTGTCCCTCAAGTTCATCCCTCTTTAGTATTAGTCTACATTACTTCTTCCATAGTTTTTCTTTTATTGACAAACTTGTGATATCATAATGAAAACATAGGAATTAGGGTTTTTCATTATAAGATCCCCCCTTAAAACCCTTAGAAGGTTCTCTTTATAGTATCTTTCTGCACTCAAGTTATAAACCAATATGACCTTATAGCCTTTAGTAATAGTTTTCCAAGAATCAAAGCCAACTATGGCTTTAGTATTGGAACATAATGTGCCTTCCTTTTTAGCATCTAGGGTTGGGGAGAAAAGATGGTTAAATTCATTCTCCTCTATCCTAGAATCTAAGAATTTGATATTGAATTTGAATGCTATGGCACACCCAGTAGAGTGGAAGGAGGTAAATTGTTCTGATTTTGATACGAAAAATCATTATTTTTTTCTATTTAAAAATGGCAAAATATTGAAATTAAATTTCTATTTTTTGAAAAAAGACACTAGATTTTTATATTAAAGATTTTTTTTTTCAATTATTTAAAACTCAACTCATACATACAAAACAAAATTTTGAATTAAGAAAAACTTTTCTCATCTCAAGTAAGCACACTTCACCATATTTCTAAATATCATAGGGGAACATTGTAATAAGTAAAATTACTAAAAAGGAATAAAAAGGCAGATGAGGCGTCCGCACTGAGGCACGCTTCAAGTCGAGGCAGAAGAAATGCGAGTCGAGGCTTACGCGTCCAAGGTTCGGATGAAGCGTCCATTTTTCTAGCACGAGGCATACGCCTCAGAGCGTAATGCCTCAAGGCGTAAGGAGGCACCGCCTCGATTTATTA